TAGGTGTGTTGCACAAATTGCTAGTTTCGTGCCCCTGGAGGCCTTTCCCAAACACCTCAAGGAGGGAGTCACACTCAGGCTGAGTCCATTATAAGTTTATTGATTGCGCAATCGGTCGACAAAGGGGTTAAGTAACCCAAAGCAGTGTCGATCCCCAGTCTTTGTCTGAGGGTCTTTTATAGCTTACCTAAACAAAGAGCTGTAGCGTGTCTTACAACTATTGGCAGTTTCACAATTTTACCGTTACGTTTAAGTTTCCACAGGATGTCAGGGCCTTTTAAGTTAGACTCAACTTATTATGGGATAAATGAAGGCGCATGTGTGTTGGGGAAGCTGTGGTAAACTCAATGTCCTTTAGTAACCCCTTATCTTCATGTAATTTTAGGTCATTGAACAGGTGCGATTGTGAAAATCTATGTGTAAAGCTGTCTTTAACCTATATGCAGAAGCTGTTAGCAAGCCATGTTGAATACAGAAGCATATTGCAAAAATAAAGCATCATGTCTAATTTTAAGCCTTATGTCTAAAATCTAATGTATTTGTACTACAGGTGTGTTCAGTTTATTAGGGTTAGACTGAAATGTGAGTATAGATGCAGGAAAAATGATGGCAGATTTTTTGTGATTATTTTAAACATAGACATGATACTTTGAGTCATAACTGGATGAAGGCACTCAAAAATAGACACAAAGTGAGAGGACTAAAGGGTAACGAGTAAAGTTCTTTGTAAGTATTTTAGAACTTTATTTTAAGCTAAGCATTAATTATCAGTGTTCGCAAGGCTTTTCCTCCATCTTTTGACTTCAGATGGGTGCCATGAAGATGCAACAGTTTATCTGTGTACTACATTTTGGTGGACTAGGTTGGAAAATAGACAAATCCAGAACAGATACATTCTAGTTTTATTGTTTGCTCAGATGTTTTAAGCCTAATGGTTTTCTCATTGTCCATAGTATTTTTAGGGGGGGAAAAAAGTCAGGAATTCCTACCCTCCCATCCCAACTTAAATAAAATAGCTGTCTTTCTTTATTCCTTAGAGCAGGGGTGTCAAACTTGCACTGTCCCCTCTCCAGAGGAATCCAGAGCACAGGGGGCTCATCACAGGCCAGAACTGGATATGGTGGTACAGTAAGCAGCAGCAGTGGCTGGGTGAGTAGTGACTATGGGAATTTTACATAACCATCACTCACCATGCTGCCAATACGTGTTGCCAATGGGGCTCCATGGCCTGGCTTTCTGTGATGGACCCTGTCCCCACTTGCCCTGCCCCTAAATTCTGTCCCCAGCTCTGACAGACCTACTGAGTTAGGGCAGGATGATACCTTAGGGTTAGTAGGCGCTAATTCTAAGGAGTATTTGTCTGTGTTAAGGTTAACTCCTGCTAGTAATCTATATGTGCACCAATCAGACCTGCAGCTAGGGGACTGGCAAGCAGGGGCATGGTTAGGGGCTGCAAGTCTGCTGCATACCTTCCCTGCTTGCTATCTCTCTAGCCATAGTTTAAGATGGGGTGTGGAGGGGAGGGCCTTTCCATGCTGCTTGGATTTTCCCCTCTGACCCCTAAATCAGCCTACTGCTCCCCATCAGCTCCCAGATTCCCCCTTCACTCTTCAATAGGCCCTTCCACCCCTCAGTTGCCTCCCTCCCCATCCCTCAGTTGGCCACCTGCACCCTTGGATTGCTGCCCTGCCACCCTAATCAGTCTGAGAGCAGCAGCAGCAGCAAGGGAGGAAGGGAGAGAAGTCTCCCTCCTTGTCTGCTCCCTGCAGCTTGTGCCTTCCCCTTGCATCCAGATCCAGCCCCCACCAGGACCTTGCAGCCCCTTGCCCTCCCCTGCACCCCCCCACCCTTCAGTTGCAAGGCCTGTCAGAGGCTGGATGTGGGCATGCAGGTGCAGGATGGTCTGTAAGGACTGCAGGAGCAAGCAGGAATTGGGCCGCCCCCTAACCCCACTAGCACCTCCACCACTCAGGCTGATCAGGGCAGTATGGCAGTGATGGTATGGGGGGAGGGGAGGAGCTAACGGTAGAGAAGGGGGCAATTGGGCTGTCAAGGGAGTGATCTGGGAGGAAGCAATTTAGGAGCCAAGGGGGAAATTTGAAAGGCAGAGGGGACAGCAGCCTGGCAGCTCCCTACTTACCCACTCCCCCATCCCTCTTCTCCCTTACAATCCTGCCCCCCACCCCTTCCCTGTACTCCCCTTGCTCTCCTACCCACCTTCATCCCTTTTCCTTCCCTCCCTACTTACCCCGTCCCCATCCGCTTGTTGCCCTGTTGTTTCCAGCTGTCAGTTCAGGGCTGTAATATCATATAGATGGTAGCTAGTTCACTGAAAACAGTGCCTCCTGGGACGCTGGAGGACTGCAAATTGGCATTTATCTCAGGTGAACACCCAGAAGTGAATTTAATTTCAGCTAGGTAGCCCAGCTCCAAAATAATCCTGGTATAACTTTAAAACACCTAAAGTGTACTTAACACTAGTTAACAACCCTTAATATGTGACCTTTCAAGTTTTAAGTGTGTTTAACATCATCTAATTGTAAAGGGTAGTCTCACCTTTACTTTTGGTAAATCACTACATTTGTAATTTGGTAAATTACTACTAAATTTGCTCTGTGCCTCACCTTCTACATCTGCATGTATGATACTTAATGGTATGAAATATACAGATGAAAAGGACTAAGTAGTATTAGTAAGCTCCAATAACCTATTAAATGATATTGCAAAGGGTAAAGGGCTAACCATAGATTTTGAAAGTCAAAATGTTTTCTGCTGAATTTGCTGCTTCTTTTCTTAACAATATAACCAATTTTTTTCTTTTTTTGCAAAATCATTATTACGCAGTTGATCAAATATGCATTACTTAATGTAAGCTCATTTTTTTCCCCTGAAGCACAGACATGGATACCCATGAGACCAACTTTAACAACCCAATAGATATTTGAAAACCCAATTGGCTGGAGCTAGGAAGGAGGCAGCCAATGAACCATAACACTGATAGGATGATCTTCCCTGAGGCTCTTCAAAGTTGGGAACATGGGGTAGTTTCTCTAAAGTCGGCTCAGCTTCAGGGAGAGCTGTGGCAGCCCCCCGCCCATGCAGGAGTGTGTGCAATGAAGAGTGCAAAGCAGGGGTTGATCCTACAGAGACTGCACAGACTTTGCCAGCAGTTCCCTGGGTCTCATGCCCTCAGACCATGTTTCAGGGATGTATTTGGTAGCCATATTGGTCTGAGACAAAAAGAAATGCAAAAACTCGAAAAGTCTTGGTTCAGAGATTTTGTGATTTCTTAGTTGGTCTAATAAAAGGTATAATCTCTGAACCAAGCGTTCTAGAGTTTTTGCATGCCCTCCAACCTGCACTTAGGTGAAGAAGGGATTTGTTTTTTTTTCCCCCATCTTTGCATAGGCTATGCATTCTGGCAGCCAGCAAGGAGCTTGTTCAAATACCAACTTTCCTGAAGGACAGAAGGGAGAAACTTGTGTCTGGATCAGCTGTTAACAGGCAACTTCTGTCAGCTCCTCTGCTCTGGGGAGGGGTTCAGGTGCAAGGCTCTAGAATGGAAAACTGGGGCCTGATTGCTGGCCTTTTTATCAAGGGAATGTATGTCACTGACTTCACTGGATATAGGATCAGGTTTTACTGGATGAAGCAGTACTGCTCAGTGCAAACAAGGCAGGCAAAGTTCTTTGAGTAGACGAGATACCTTTTATTAGACCAACTGAGTAGTTGGAAAAAAGTTCTTAGCAAGCTTTGGAGTGGAGTCACCCTTCAGGCATAGGGGGTCTCTGATGTTCTGAGACTCCAAGGAATGAGAGGGGCTAAAAGTGGGGCAGGATGTCAGTGAGAATGTAAATAGGTAGAAATTAGAAAGAAAAGGTAAAGCAGAGAGGGGAGAGGGAAAAAGAGCAGGGCGGGGGGAGAAGGGCTAAAGGGAGACATCACAGTGATAGAATACAAGGTAGAAAAGAGGCTGTCAGTGAAAAAGAAAATAGTTGGAGACAAGGAACCCAGGGATGAGAGAAGCTCCAAGTGTGAGAGGATGTTGTAGCCGTGGTGGTCTAAGGGCCTAGGCAGGCAAGGTTCTTTGAGTAAATCTGACCTCTTTTATTAGACCAAATTAAATAGGTGGGGGGGGGGAGGGGGATTAGCTTTATGTTTAAACTTGAAGAACTCAGCCTGATGAAGGGTTTTTAAAACCAAAAGCTCACTACTTCCCCCCCCCCCCAACTATTTAAGTGGGTGTAATATACCAGATTCCCCCAAAGAACTGTCTGCCGGAGGATGCAATGAACATAAATAGGAAGAAAGGAGACACAAAAGATAAAAAGTAGGGGAGGAGAGGCAAGGGGGAAAGGCCAGAGGTGAGCAAGGGAGGCACGACAACGGTGCCTCCCCCAAACAGTGCACTCTCCCTGGAAGAGTCGGTGCCCTCAAAGGATCCTTTTACCCTGCTTTGTCCCCATCCCCTCCGTTTGTCCCCGTGGCCCCTCCTCGCAGGCTGCCCCGCCGCCCCTCCCCGTGGTGTTTGGTGCAGCCCAGCTCCCCCCAGCCCCGAGCCCTTCCCGCGGGCGAACGGGCGAGCGTGGCCCCGGCGCCGGGGAGCAGGCGGGAGGCTCCCGGCGAAGCGGCGCAGGCTCGCGCTCTCCTCCATTCCTTTCATTCCCCGAGTGCTTTCGAAATGCCCCTCGCCCCTCTCCGGGCTGGGGGCGGCTCCGGGGGGCTGGTCCAGTCCGGAGCTGCCTCGACCAAGGGAGGGCGGGCTGCGGGAGGAGGCGGCCGATTGGCTTCCGACCGCCGACTGGCTTGTCAGTTTCAGCTCTTTGGGGGGGAAGGGGGGCGGCTGAGTGCCTCTCGCCCAGCCCTCTGACGGGGTGAAGCCTTTAGGGGGATGCCGTGCTCTTTGCATTTTGATTAAAGCCCCTCATCTCCCTTCAGTGTGAAGGCAGGGCGCCGGAGCGGAGGGGCCTGCACAGGGGCTGAAAAAAGCAACCCCCCCAGCCTCCCTCTGGTTGTCACTGATGGCTCTATAAGAGGAATCATCTCTGGGAATATTGTGGAGGGGACGGAGCCGGTCCGCAGCGAAGGCGCCCGGGTTTCACGCACGCTCCAGGGCGCCCAGCATGGAGATGCAGAGGTGGTCCACAAGGTGGAAAACGAAAAGGTGGCGCTGGGACTCCTCTCTAACCCTAGTCCTCATGTTTACTGTCCTTCTCCAGGCTGCAGAGGTCAGAGGAGGTAAGGAAAAAAAAATGGGTGAGAAGGGAGAGCCGGGCACTGCAATCGCCCCTCGTCCCAGCCTGGCAGGAGGATCCAGGGCAAGGCTCCTACAGTTGTCCTGAGACCTGTCAGCGCAGATCTCAGCCGAGGGGGGCCGGCAGGGAGCGGGGACCGGGAACCCTGCCCAGGCTTGGCTCAGGGCACGCTCAGCCTTGTTGGGACCGCTCTGCAGAACTCCCTCGGGGGAGCTTTTCCAAGGTGCTGATGATTTAAAGTCCCACTTGAAAGCATCACTCCTTTTTAAATCTTTTTTTAAGATCAGGAAGCAAGATACTGCTTTTGGGGCTGGGGAGGGGGGCTGGGGAGGGGGGAGGAAAAAGGCAGCTGCTGAGCAAAACTTTTCTCTCTCTCCCTAGCTCTGAAATCCAGCTTTAAAACCCCGTTTTAGAAAGTGTGTCAGTTTCAGCTCTTCCCCTTGAAACTGACACGCTCCGTTGAGTGGACTTGGGCATGAGGCTGATCAGGTTCCCCAAGTCTTGGCTATGATTAAAAAAAAGCTATGATTTTAAAAAAAACAACTAGTTTTTTTCTTTGAGGGACGAGTGGGGGAGGAAGGAGAGAGGTCTCTCGGCTCTTGGCGTGATTTTTTTTTTTTTTTTATCCCTTTACTTTGAAAAGCTCCGTGATTGGCAGCTTAGGGCTGAGTTGAAATGCATTTCAAAGGGCCCCTTCCTAGACAAACAGGAGTCACTCTCCTCGAATAGCATCTCCCTGTGGCCCTGCTAGACCTGCAGGTGGTGTATAGAGCTGCGAGGACAGGCGATCGGCTTGAGGGGGGGAGCTCTTACGTGGCAAGCGGGCAGGTCAGTGGGAGCTGTGCCAATGCACCGAGAAGAGACTCCCCCTCCCTTTCCGCACCTCCCCGCGTTGCTGCATCCTCGGGGGAAAGCGCGTGGTCCGCCAGGTGTCTGTGGACACGGTTAGCAGGGTGCAGATCCCGGGAGCGTGCAGCGCAGAGAGGGACCACGATCCTCGCCCTCCAGGGTTAGGGGAGGGGTGGGGGCAAGGATCATGTGACGGCTGCCCCGCGCTCTGGCCTCGGGGGCGGGGGGTGGGAAGGGGAGGGACACGCAGGGGCTCGACTCGGGAAAGCTGGGCTTCTGCACTGACGCCTGGTAGCTTTAGCAGCGGGGACCCAGCCCTTCCAGCACTCTCTGTGTGTGGGTGGGAGTGGGGAGTGGGGGTGTCCCAGCTGACAAGCAATGGAGCTGAAACTTTAGGATTTGAAACGATCCGCTTGGAGCTTCACCGTGCATTTGCCACTCCCCACCGTGCTTTACACTCCCTCGCTGCGTGGAAGGAAGGGCTTCTTCTTGCCACCCCAATAATTAGGTTCTTCTTGTGTCAACCTTACCTGGTTTTTCTGCGTCTGATGCTCCCGGAGTACACTTTTGATTTACCTTTTTTTTTGGATGATTTTTGCCAGTAATTTGAAGACGGCAGTTTTGCCTTTGCCCATATTTTCGGTCCACACTAGTTATGCCGGGAGCACAGAAAGGTGATCACAGTTTCCATGCCATTGCTGGTACCTGATCACCACTTTGGTGAACTATCAGCAGTTCTGCCCCCTGCCGGTCCTGTTTGTAAGAAAGGCAGGAGACGACCAAATCTATCCTTGCTGCAATGCATTTTAGTTAAACAAAGTTCCACCAAGGATGAATAACCCCTGTGCACATAAAAGGATTTGGCTTTTCATGACTCTGTTGAAACTAAAGAAGGAAGGAGACTTCAGGCAAAGACATTTTTTTTCCTAAGTTCAATATTCCACTCTGACCTGGAGACTGTTCTTTGCAGCATTTCCATCATAACAGCATTTATGAAGACAGACAAACTTTGAGTTGTGGTTGAATTCAATTAAAATCTGAACCTAAGCAGCACTGATAACAATTCAGCTCAGGCTACCTGGTATTTACTGGAATATTTTAACTCATAATGGATTTAGGTCTATGAGCATGACATATTTAGTAATAAAAATCCCTTGTGAAGAGTTGCTTTAAAAAAAAGGGCCGTGTGTGTGTGTGTGTGTGTGTGTGTGTGTGTGTGTGTGTGTGTGTGTGTGTGTGTGTGTGTGTCCCATTGGTATTGGAGAATTTGAGAAACAACAGATTACAAGTTTGGCTTATGCTGTTTGACTTCTGTTAAAAATCTTTGCAAACCAACAGGTTGTTTTGGCTTCCCTGAAATAGGGTATACTATCAATCTGTTACTAAAGTCAATGGGAGTCTTTCCATTGACTTCAGTAAACTGGAGTGCTGGATCTGACCTAATTTCCTAGATGGAGCACTGAATAGATATCTCTGAGTTTTCTTTTATATACTCCAATACTAGCTGAAATATTTAGAAGCTTAAAATCAAGACAGTGACTGATTGACAATTAAAAGCGGGGGGGGGAGGGACGGGACACATAAGTAATATTATACTGAACAAGTCACGGTAAATGCTGGGAGTATATCAAAATATTACAATGTTTCATCAGAATTAAATGTAAATTGACCTTGGAATTGTATTTAGGTTAGGTTTTTCAAAATTTTATTTGGATTTCCATAAACGGTTACCGTACAAAGAAACTTAGTGTCTGTACTGGAGTGTTAAACTTTTCAGCAATTATTTATTTTTCATTTAAAACACAATTTTCTTGATTTAGAGAGAAGTCAACTAAATTCCTAAAATTCTTGACTGATAGGTAACTTTGCTAGTATGAATAAAGGAGAACAAATTCCACATAGGCTCCTGAGGTTTCTCACATTTAGACAGAAAGAGCCATAGGAATGAGAAGTGATTGAATTAGGAAAGTAGGGGCATACGTTGTCACTTCAGTGCCCATCAAACCCACAGCAGCTCTTGTTAGAAAATACTCTTGCTTTATGACCTGGTACAAGTAAACAAAATTCACATTTTAAAAGACGCTCTTTGATTTCCTTCTCCCCCTTCACCTTTTAATACCAAATCTGTTGGTAATGTTTGGAATGAATAAACTCATTTAGTCTAAATGGCATAGCCTCAACACTATAAAATATTTTTAAGGACCTGGCATCAATGCCCTATTGTGATGCTGATTTAAATTTCATGAGCAAGAAATGAAAAAAATAAAGCAACTTTTTTAGCTCTTCAAGCAAATGGAAACCCTGCTATTATTCAGAATACAGAGTGGTATAAAGAATTCTGGTTGAAAATATGAATGTGCAGCTATCTGAAGAATATAACTTTTGGACCTTCTGTTGAAGTAAATTCATGGATGACAGTATTTGCTCTAAAATGTTGTAAGCACTTAACTTCAGTTACCTTACTAGGAAATGCAGAGATTATTGTGTTCCCCAAACTCCCTTGAAAACTAGTAGGAGCTCCGGGTTCAGAAGGACTGCAATTGGGCCCATTAATAATGAGAGGCAGAATATTCTATAGGATCCATGCACACCTAAAACAACGTATGTAATTCAATTCTGAATGCCTACCAAGTCTCATTGGAAATATAGCTATTCAGGATTCATTTATCAGAGGAAACTTGTTTAACATCTGAACATTGCTAATCTGCACAAATTTGCTGGTTTCAAATAGAAAACATATACATCTTTACTCAGAACTGATTATCAGTAATGTATGCTATTTTTCGTGTCTCACATTCTATGTGTGTCAGTGATGAATGAAGAAATCGGAGTATTTTCATGGATCCTTTAATATAATATTTACTATACTCAAAAAATAGTGTCATGACCTTCAGTAAGGTAAAGAGATCACACATTTCAATGGTTGATAATAATCAAATGAATTGAAGTGATAAAACCATAGGAGGAATTGATAAGATTTTGAATAACTGTTGGTGGTCCAGCTGAAAAGTTTGAGTCCCAGGGATCAGCAGGTGAAATGGTCCTGTCTTCCCAGTACATAGTGACTGATCCAGCAAAAGAAAGCTGCAGCTGCATGAAGATGTTTGTTTTTCTACTTAACTTAGAATTTCTGCAATATTTCAAATGCAAAACAACTGTTTTGTTTCAGGCAGCTGATAAAGAAATATGACTAGTATGGATTGCAAATTCTCCGGAGCATAGTGCTCTATATTTAATTTACAAGGAGGTATGATAGAGAGCCCTGAAAGGACAATGCAGGCTGAACATAGGCTTAATATTTCCTTCTTTAATTGTTTTTGTACAATTTAAAATATAACAACAATTTCCATTATGTAGAAACACCCATAACGAATATACACACATAGCATGTGATTTATCTCAAAATTTATATATCTCACAGCTATCATTTGAAGCTGTTTTTTCCAATTTAAAGAAAATCTTCCTTAATATAAATCCTTTCTTGATTGTGTCATGTTTTCTGATAAATGTCTGGAAAAATTGCTGGTACAGTTTGCATCCATGGCAGCTGTAGATTGTAGTAAAGGAAATGTCCGAGTCAGAATGGTAATTTTCTTACCATTTCAGATATATTTGATCTACTGTAAATAGGGACCTTCATTCTAACAAAGTTGCCATATAAGAAAAGAACTATGACATGAGTACTGAAGTGGTGTTATACCTAAAACACACTGGAACAATTATGCCTCATACAGATGTGTTTTGTACAGTGTTGAATAGTAGGTCTCCATCTGTTAGTAAGATTAAGAAGTTGCTTTTTTTTCAGTAGGGCATTCTTTTCATAAGAAGTCCTCCTAACATTTGCTCATTTATTGTTGTTCTGACTGTTTGTTGATAATAGGCAAATAAATGGACCTTGGGAGAATTCTCCTGTGCTTTAAGAATGTAGACTCTCACAAAATAACAGAGTTTTACCCTTTGGATGAACAAAGCAGAAATAGGAAAATTACATTTATTGAAACTAGTCTAACTTGTATGCATATTGCCAGGGACTGACAAATTTTAAATACAAAATTTACCAACTGCAAAAGTAGCACATTAATGGTGGAGCTTGCTACTAAATACTAGGAGGAGTTGGCAGTATTTGAGTTCCTT